GTAAATGTATTATGCAAATCAAATAAACCTCAATAACTCAAAATTTTCTGAACCAATGTCAAATTTAAACTCGTCCTATTTCCAATTTTTAATGCTTAGTTTTTGATAATTTCGGAATTTATTAAAATGCACTGAGTAAAGTTAATATGCAATTTAAACTAATTTAGATCAAGACCTCAGAAATCTAATAAAACAATTTTTTTGTCTATAATGTATGTTGAAACATGGGTAAAGAGAAGAAGCTACGAACTGCTGAAAAAATAACAACGTTATGGCATGAGGGAATATCCACATTGGAGATTTCAAAGAAGCTTTGCATGGAATGATAAAGAAGCCGGCTGAAAATATAAGTAAGCTTAGAACTTGAAGCTTAGGAAAAGCATTTAAGATCTGGCTTCTTCGAGATGAACGTTAAACATGGAAACGAGTACAGAAACGTTATGAAATATTGGTACTCCTATGTTAGCGATAATGCCCTCAAATATGAAAATTGAAGTAACAGACATTTAGATTTACAGGAGGATGCTGAGAATTCCATGGATTGAACATGTGTGTAACGAGGACCACTTAGGGGGAAAGGAAATAAAACTCTTATACTCACAATCGGAAAGAGAAATTGAAATATCTAGGCACATAATTAGGAAAGTGAGTTTGGAAAATTAGTCTCTCGAAGTACATAAAGATAGAAACAGGACAAAAAGACGTACAAAAGTCAAGAAGATGACGGGAGTCAGGATCACTAAGACTGAATGTACACGGCACACGGAATGTACACGGCACATGGAAGAAGAAAATCAGGACGAATCTCTATACGTTACTATTAATTGATACATTTATTTTTCAGTCCGACATAATTTTATTACTTAAAAAGTTATTTGTAATGTTCACCCCTATTTGAATAAAGGATCCGTTTATTTTAGCCTGTATGTATTTCGTTTTAGAGAAATAGAACTGCTTTTCATATCATTTTTTATCACAAAAAAAAAATAAAAAGCATATATATATATATATATATATATATATATATATATATGAAAAGATTAGTTACTTTTTAAATATTTAATCTTTTCACATAATATTTTTAAAGCTCTATTTTAAATTTATTTTAATATTTTTAATATTAAACACTAAATATAAAGATATCTGGCGTTTCTTTAATGTATATATATATATATATATATATATATATATATATATATATATTCTTTAATCTGATATAAATATATATATATATATATATATAACTCAGTATATTGTCGTCATTTTATATTTTTAATTTCGCGCATGTGAGATGCCACTGGGAGAGGGAGGGGGAACCCGTTGACACCCTCTGAGGGTATGTGTAAGATACCAATATGAGAACAGAAGAAGGTGGGAGGACGATTCCCTACCCTAGAAAGTAAAGACCTCCAAAAATGGAAATTATTAAATTTTCCTGACCAAAAACAAAGAAAATTCTTAAGGCGGATTTAGAATTATCAAGGATCCTCAAACCCCGACAGGCCCACCCCGGTTTTGGTCGGCGTCCATATAAGCAGAGTCGAAACGAGTAAGAAGGCAGTTCGTAGTGAAGTTCGCAGTTGGGGTTAGACAGACAGGCAAGCAGTTGTAGTGAGCTGAGAGCTCGCAGACGCCTCGCAGGAAGCTGACTTAAGATTCCACGCAATCACAACCTCAACTTATAACCAAGAACAATTTATTTTTGAAGAACGACTTAGACTCACACCACCAAAACAAGTTTTACGAATATCGCCTGAAGATAAACCATGAACCAGTTTCTTAAAGAACAAACAACTTAAGATGTTAAGACTCGACTAACAAACACAAAGTGTCACGAATCCATATAGCGGGTTCGGAGGAAGATGCAGTCCTGTATTCAGCAACCAGATATAAAATATTGTTATCCTTTTTAACACATTTGAACTTTTCGAGTTATTACTTTTTTTCTTTTACATATACTTGTGCGATATTACCCTTGTTCGGACTCGACTTGCATTACAGCCCGGCGACTGAGTGATTTCGTCTACCTAAGATCAAATCACAACGTGGGTAGGTTAGATTAGAAATCAAAGCAGTTACTTCGGTAACCAGACGTTGGAGGCGAGCTGGGAACGACAAGGCTGATACCGAATCTAACCAGATTCTCATCCGAATCAGCAAAAGCTTAGAACGTCACATTTGGTGCCGCGACCAATACAAAGTCACATTGGTCGTCACGGGACAGGATAGGACGACGACGGCGCGGAGACAGACGGGGTGACGTCACAATTGGCGCCGCGACTAGGACAGCACGGTGGGCGCGGCCAGGCAGACGTCACGATTGGCGCAGCGACACCGGGGGACGTCACAACTAGAAGACCCTATTTCGGGCAACAGGATTCCGTACCATGGCACATACTCATAGCATTCAGACAATTTCTGCTATCAAATTAGTCCTTAAATCTAGCCACCTAACTAACCAGACTGAGACCTCCTTGATTATTATGTGTGGGGCGCAGATGAGAGGAAGAAGAGAAGATCTGAAGGCAAGGATTATGGCAGCATTCACCAACTTAAACAAGGAGACCGTCCAGAACAAATACAGAAGATTTCGAAGTCGTCTGGAGGCGGTAGTGAAAGGCAATGACTACTTTATTGAATAAATCTACTCTTTACTATTTCAAGATATTTTGGTGTAATTTCGTTAATTATATCTTCTAAAATGAGATGTCAGTATAATTTAGACGACAATTTATGCATCAATCCTTTCTCTCCCGTTCTCTCAATCTCAATCAATATATATCAATATATATATATATATATATATATATATATATATATATATATACAAAGAGAGAGAGAGAGCGAGAGAGAGAGAGAGAGAGAGAGAGAGAGAAAGAAAGAAATAGACAGACAGAGGCAGAAACACATAGATAGATAGGGTTATGGTCCGGTTCCTTGTACAACAGTGATATTCCAAGATAGAACCAATAGAGAATAACGCGAACAAAGGTATGGAATAATTCAGATATATTACAAACAGGAATATATACAGAGAAGTAGAAAGTGGTAGTATGAACAATCAGGTTTAGTAGAGAGAACAATGTAGTCTCGACCAGTATCATTATTCCAATGTCTTGCAGTAATTGTCTGAACGCGACTCCGTTTCGGACTGCCTCTGACTCGACTCTTGACTCGACTTTAACTACTGACTATATTTAGTCACCCCCCACGTAGTCATCATGTGACACAAGCCCGGTTTAACGTGGGATCTCCGAGCCCGTGGACTCGGCCAAAAATATGCCCATTGAACACGTATAAACTGGTTCAGTGTGGGTTTACCTCCCCGAAAGAGAATCCGCCCTCGGCGTAGCCTCCTTCGGGTTCCTCCCCGCCCGATGGCAGAGAGTTCAACCGATCAGCCGGTCGACCGAGATCTACTTGAACGACTGACTCCTTGCCTACTCCTGAGGCGCAGTATTTAAGTATGGAATAGTCCATTATTATTATTATGTGTAAGATCCCATGACAGATAGATAGATAGATAGATAGATAGATAGATAGATAGATAGATAGATAGATAGGTTTGTGTATTTGTTGTGAGTATGTGTATATCATGACACATGTATAGTTTTCCGTATGAACAATTTCTTATGAAGTAAAAATGAGTAGAAATAGAAATGATGATGAATTACTCAGGAGACTTACGAAAGTTCAGTATGTGATTTAGCCAAGAAAATACTATAGAATGAAATTGAGATTAATTGATTATATTGAAAATGATATCAGGAACCTTCTTCTGAGAAGAATAATTCTATGGCGACCTCAGTATATCCTCGGTTCGTACTAAAATATACCAAAGTTCTTTTTTTATTCGATGCTACCTCAGTGCTAACCTTGAAGGTAACCATAAATTCGCCAAGTACAGAATCGTTCAAGGAATAATGTTATTGTGTGCATTATCAAAAACAGTAAGTTAATACAGCTGAATTTTGATATATCCACCCGCTGTGATAGCAGGAGAAAATCCCTGCGGATAAAAACCCACTGGGCAAAATGCAAGTCTCTTATCCCAAAAGTGTATAAATTCCCAGTTTCAAGAATAAAAGTCTCATATATAAAAAGAAACATATTTAACAATGAGAATTCAATGAAATTTTAATTCAGGTTTTAATATTAAATCTAGATAATAATAATAATAATAATAATAATAATAATAATAATAATAATAATAGGTGTAAATGAGAGTGAAGGAATTCACCATAAGAAAATGAAAGAAATAGTGCGTAAAGAGTACTATAGAAGGGTACGACTGGTATTAAAAACTGAATTGAATTCTCAGAACAGAATTATGGCCATTAATAACCTAGCCATCCCAGTGGTCCAATATAGTTTCAACATCTTGAACTGGACTCTAAATGACATCAGACAAATGGATTCTAAAACAAAAGCTTCTTTCTAAGTATAAGATGCATCATCCAAAGGCTGATGTAGACCGTCTATACATACCCCGTAAAGAAGGTGGAAGAGGTCTTATTCAGCTAGAATTGTCATACAAGACAACAACTATTGGCTTACTAACTTACATGGAAACAACAAATGACTGGATGATAAAATTAGTGAAACAACATGAAAACAGAAAGAAAAAATATTCAATAATAAAAGAAGGCAGTAAATACAAACAACATTTACATTTAGTAGATTCTGTAGTAAATCAAAACAGAAGCCAAGAACCAACTATTGCAGCAAAAGATATGAAAAAGAAAGCCAAGGATAAAGCCCTTGAACAGATGAAACAACGCTGGCAAGACAAACCTCTGCATGGCCAATATCCAGAACGTGCAAATAAACCCAATGTTGATAAAGTTAATACTCATCGATGGTTACGAGCATCTGGATTAAAGTCTGAAACTGAAGGCTTTATTCTTGCAGCGCAAGACCAGAGTCTTTTCACTAGGAATTTTCAGGCAAATATCATACATAATAATGTGGATCCAAAATGCAGGTTCTGTGACAAATACAAAGAAACAATAGACCATCTAATCTCAGGATGTTCTATACTTGCCCCAAATGAATATAAAAATCGTCACGATAGAGTGGGGCAATACTTACACTGGACAATGTGCAAACACTTTGGAAAATGTAAGCAAACACTGGTATGAACATCGGCCAGCGCCGGTTACAGAAATAGAAGATGTCACCATTCTATGGGATTATACCATCCACACAGACAGAAAAATTGAAGCAAATAGGCCGGACATTATTGTCAAAAACCAGAAAGAAAAAACTTGCCTACTAATTGATATGGCTTGTCCAGCGGATTGTAACATAGCAACCAAGGAATTTGAAAAACTATCAAAATACAAAGACCTGGAAATTGAAATAGAAAAAATGTGGAAATTGAAAACAAGAATAATACCAGTGGTAATAGGTGCACTTGGAATTATAAAAATGGAACAAAACAACACATTGAAAGAATCCTGAAACCCCAGCTTAAGAGACATACAGAAAATTGTCTTATTAAGTACAGCACACACTAAGGAGAACTTTGTCTATGTAACGCTAGCAACTTCATCGGAGATAAAAAAAAAAAAAAAAAATTAACATGAAATGTGGCCATAACAACACACCACGACCTGCCTTAGGTCTTTCCGCAGACTTGGTAGGTAGTGTGTCCATAGCAGAAATCGAATGATGATGATGATGACAATAATAATAATAATATCCAATATATCTATCTATCTATCGATCTATCTATCTATCTACTCATCTCTATCTCTCTCTCTCTCTCTCTCTCTCTCTCTCTCTCTATATATATATATATATATATATATATATATATATATATATGTATGTATGTATGTATGTATATATACACACACATGTAATCCATCCAATATATACACCTCAATGTCAAATTGAGACAACAAACACAGTATCCAATAATCTCTTGAATGCATGACAACGAATATATGTAAATGTTATCTTAATATTATAGAAAATGATAACTGGTAAATTGCCTTTGCAAAAATGTCATTAATTAATCTTATATTAAACAGGATTTTGTCCGAATTTGGGATATGACGCTGGAATATTGTCCACTGAGTTTTTGTCAGCTGAATTTTGTCCACCTTTTATTCATTGATTGACTGCAATCCCCGTAAAAGAGGAAGATATTAAATGCTGGATCTCTGTGAAAGAAAGCGAGCAGCCGACCCCATCACAAGAACAAGATCGATATTTCAAATAAAGACAATTAGCCATACAACCTCTATTCGACCGATGTTAATTTGACGCTGCTGAAAAGTGGCAAATTCTTTTGTGTATGGATATTTTAGTTTCATATTCTTATGAGATATGATATTGCACACGATATAACTCATCATTGCTAAATAATATTTGTATAAACCAGCGAACAGAAGAGAAGAACTTAGAAATAAAACAAAGCTTATATAGCCATTATATAGTCCACCATTTCCGGTATGTTTTTTTTTTTTTTGTTGTTTCCATCAACAGACCTTTAAAAACAAATGTTATGGTTTTGAAGTATACTAAAGTCTTATTTATGATTATTATTCTTATAATCATGACCCTTAATAGAGTCGTTAATTCGTCACTGCAGAAGGTCAAGTGGTGTGCCAGGTCAAAGATTATCGAAGACAACGGTAATTAAGAACAAACTGCCCTGAGGAGATAGGACTATAATTACGATGGCAACTAGCCAAGAGAAAGACTACTGCTCTTACCTCTCCAATTGCCTTGTTGTCGTTCAATGACAGTTCCTAGAAAGTAAATCAAATTGTCCCTACCACATGATGCTAAGAATGATAACGATTCTATGGAAAGGGAAGGAAAATATTTAAGGGTCTGATATTTCTTTAAACATTATGCCAAGCAGGCATAATGGAAGAAGATATTTTAGTGAATAAAGCCAATACATGAAATTTTGGCTGAAATGACGTGGATATGCCTATTAAATGTCGCCTGGGCCTGTAGAATACGCTGACTGCACGTCTGCAGAGGGGTAAGACCACTTAATGTGGCGTCCTGGGTGCGACGATAAACTACATATGCATCTACGGTAAGCCGATAAAATACGTCCAACATGAAGAAGGCCTCTGATAAGGTTTTGAGTAACGAGGAACAACCTCTTAATTGCTGGTGTTCCCTGGTCTAACCTGACTCGGGGTGGTAGCACCTGTTAGGGTCCCAGGTATGAGCAAATAGTTAACCAGAAACTGTGGTAAAAAGCATTATAAAAGTGTAAAAATAGGTTTTAATACAAGAAATACTTTGTAAAAAATTATGCCAGAAATAAATTTTTGTAGAAAATTAACTATTACGAGCAATATATATTTGAAAAAAAATATTAACAGCAATACGTTTTTGAAAGAAAATATTACCAGCAATACATGTGATTGTACTCAAAAATATGTATAAGTGAAAAATGTTTCAAATATATATGTATACATACACACCATTTTTACCAAACTATCGCTATGAATATATTTCAAAAAATTTGTTGGCATTAAATGACCCACTGATGTTGATATGCCATAAAACAAAACAACCAATCAAACAAATAAGCTATTAAATGATAACACTTGACGTTCTTTTTCATGATATAATATTATATCTTATTCAACTCTTGGGGTTGTCACTTACTCTCAGCTAGATAATAAAGTCACAGGAAAAAGTCACAATTTTTGCTAAAAAAAGACATAGGAAAAAGAAGGCTTAAACATCAGTAAATCCAAGTATTTTTGATCCACAGCAGCACTTTTCACCCTGTTTTCAGGATTAGGATTAGCGCTGCTAGTATTAGGGCCGCAATTAAAAACAGTCTATTAATATTTCATACATTTTTTCCAGTGAGGTTTTTCCCGTCATTTTTTCCCTGAATATGTTATGTACGACCCCGATATTCGTCCATCCCGCCAACGTTATCGATTCTTCGTACGTCCCGCAAAACATCCATACTCCTGTGATGAATAACAAAACTACTCAAATCATATCAGGGAGGGGTTAGTATCTAGCACCCCAGACTGTTACTGATTGTTCAAAATGTAGCGACTCTTATCTCGAAGATCAAACTTACAGCTGATCAAGATATTGCATATATTAATATTTAGCTGACTTGACCTTAAGCAAATGATCAAGATATTAAATATCCGACATCTGGTTCAACTGCAACTGTTTGGTCTGCTAGATGTTAATATATTTTTACCTATCATTATCCTTTCTATGTTTACACTACTGGATGCAAGTATGAGTTCACGCATTTTTTTTTAAATCCGTGGCTATATGTAACCATTGCACAACCGTTCAACTGACTTCATTGAAGATCTGGTAAGAAAAACATAGTGCAAATCTTTTCCCGTTTAAGAGTACATGAATATCTTTAATTTCTTTTAAAATTAAACTTTAGTTTTCTCCTGTAAATTAAAGACAAATATGCTGGATTTCATCTGTCTTGCATAGTAAAAAAACAAAACAAGAACGATAAGTTCACAGGTAAAATCGACATTACCGGTGTATCAAAGAATGTTGGACCCTTATTTATATATATATATATATATATATATATATATATATATATATATATATATATATATATACAGAGAG